ACGGGTCACCAGCCTTCCGGTCTGCAGTCTGACCTCACCACCCACTTCCCAGCCACTAAGCCATTTAAATCCCAGAATCAAGCACTCTGTTTTTCAGGTACCAAATTCTGCATAACCAGGACGCCGGTTAGGCTGTTATTGCAGAACTCCAAAAATACAGTGGCTTCAATATAGGAGAAGTTCACATATGTCACACTTTAAAGCCCAAGTTAGTGACTCAGGGTCTTTGGCTGGCCAGATGGTATCGGGAAACCCTTGACTAACTTTCTCATTTTGCTGTACACCCTCGGCACATAGCTTTCAGCTGATGCTCCAGAGTGGCTGTTTCAGCGCCCACCCTCAAGTCCACATTTCAGCAAGTGGGAAGAGGGGAGTGAGGCTTGCCGCTAACATCTGTGGAGCCTTGAGCCATAAGGCAGATAAAGGACCTCACAGTTATTATATGCCTAAACATTTTAAAGTTCTCAAGCCAAGAAACCACAAAAAATGCATTATCTTCCTTCCTTCGCAAATACAACTTTCTGGAAGGTCAACTTTAAGTTTAGGATATGGGTTCCAGTCTAGAACTTGGAGACAGGGAGAATTGGCCTGCAGTCATCTCCTTTCTTTTCCCACTCCTGTCTCCCTTACACACACACAGGTCCATGTGCTTGGGGACACCCAGTGTCCAATCCAAACTCCATCCACACGCCACAGAAACAGCAGTCCCTTGGCTACTCCCATGACTCAGGGTGTGCATGGAGACAACATGATCCTTCCTTGGGACATGAACATGGAGAAGAGACCTGCATAGACCTCGTAGCCATTTGGAGAGGGAATTCTGAACTCTGAATACCAAGAGCATAAGCACATCTTCTTTGCCTGGGGATTCCTTACCCCATGAGGAAGGGTGGATCAAGGCCCACAATAGGGGGCCCTCGCCAAGGTGAGGGAAAGGGGAAGTGAAAGCGATCTCCCCTTCTTTGTGGACCTGACCCTAAACTTAACCATAGCACTTTGGCCCAAGATGAAGTGACCAGGACTGAGTCACTCAGCCTCATCTATCGGCAAGGGAAGTTGGGAAATGTGACCTTTATTCTGGGAGGCCGTGTGCCCCACTAATATCCAGACATTCCTTTACTGACTGCAAAGGAAGAGAATAGATAGTGAGAGTAAGCTAGCAATCTCTGCCACAGACACATGCCTTTTCACAAATCACACTTTTGTTTAGACAAGTGAGTTCTTCACAATCTGCTTTCAGAGAGGTGAGTTTGGAGGCAAGACAATACTGTCAGATATAATTGACGGTCAAAATAATTGCACACCTGAGCATTTTTCAATGGGCAGCCAGTATGCAATATGTCAGCTCTGAAATTTTGTCTAATTTTCAGATCAATCAGGAAGAACCAAATGAATTGTTTTCAATTCAAAGGATATAGTATAATTATGACATTCAATAAAACAATTTTAATCTTAAACCCTGAGAGTGAATGGCATTTTAAACAAAAACTAAAACTTAAAACCTGACCGTGTTTGGCAGAATTTTTTCCAGAAATATTCAGCCACTACCAGATGCACACTTACCAAATGCAAAAAGAGCAAAAATTGGTTCTGGCATTGTTTCTCCTGGCCTACTCATATAGGAGAGTAACACAAAACTCACCAAAAATTAGGTGGATGCAGCTTCCACTTTGCAAAATTTTAACCAGATATAATTGCAAAGTAACATTACATTGTCATAATGTAATAATGATGAAATAAGTGTAATGATGTAAATATCATTACATAAGAGCATATGACACTGATTTATTTTGTAAATTGAAACAACACGCTGAAATCTTGTGAAGAGGGGCCCTTGGGTGGCTCAGTCGGCTAAGCATCTGCCCTCAACTCAGGTCATGATCCCAGGGTCCTGGGATCGAGCACCGCATCGGGCTCCCTGCTCACGGGGAGCCTGCTTCTCCCTCTCCTCCCCATTTGTGCTCTCTCTCTCAGATAAATAAGTAAAATCTTTAAAGAAATAAATAAATAAGTAAAATGAAAAAGAAAATCTTGTGAAGAAATAATAGCAATATCATGATGATGGATATACCAGGTCTGCTGCCTCTGTCTCCTTCCCTCTGCCCTACACCCTGTGCCAACGGAAGGAAGCCGGGCTTTCCAGTAAAGAGAGGGAAATACCTCGTTTTATGTGTAGAGCAAGAGAGATTCTGATCACTGCCTCCCCCCCCAACCCCCAAGCTTGTGGAGGCATCAGGTGTTCATTTCCTTGGTCAGAAAACAAGAATGGAGCCCCAGACAGTCATAGGCAGCTCACACTCTGAGGGAAGACTCTGGCTCGTGATCATATTGCTATGGCCCTTCTGGAAACTATAGCTGACTGCTGGTTGTCTCCCAATAGCCATTTGCTCCATCTTCCATAGGAACAGGTTTGTTAAACATTTTCACACATTTCCCATTTCCCAGCCTCCCTTGTAGCTGACCAGGTGCAGCTATGTCTAAATCTGGACTTAAGTGGAAGTGATGTGTTCAGCTTCCAGACCTGGCTTTCTTGGCCCCTTCTTCCCACGGAGAGACGCCAAAACAGCAGCCTTGCAGCCAGAAGGGGAAGAAGCCCCTGTTGAGGATGGCAGGCCAGTCCTCACAGCTCAGAATTGCCTACTTCTGGACTACAAAGTGGGAGAGAAATAAACTTCTCCTTTTTTAAGCCGTTTATTGGAGGGGGCGGGAGTGTGTCTAGCCACTCAGCCTGAACTCGGGTTCATCCCGTGCCATTCCTAGCAGTGCCTTATAACCGGAGTGTGGCTTCAGAAATCAGCAAGTCACCCTCCAGGTGAGGGCACTGCCTGGCTCTTCAAAGAATCTGGAATGGAGTAAGATGGTGTGTCTTTGTTAATTTGTTTTTTCTCTTTGTCGTGTAAAGAGGGGGAAAGGCTTTTAAGACTCAAGTAGAGAAGCTTCATCCTCTGACCTGTCCTTTATTAGTTCTTTGTCAGCAATGAAGACGTTCAAAAGACAGATTTTTAAAACAAGCTGGACTCCAGATTTCCTCAGCGGTACCTCCGTGCCTATTTTCTCCGGCCCAGAAGCGAGGCATCCAATGTGCCCCATTTTCGCTACTGCGTTCCTAAGTATGAGGGAAACGGTTTAGACTTTTTAAGTCTTTCCAGACACCAGGACTCTGATCGCAGTTTCCTTTTTGGTTTCTTTACCAGGCCGCAGGAGAGGGCAATGTATACTACGTGCTCAGACGCCAGCATAGTGACTGAGACCTGCTAAGTCTGATATTCTGTTGTTGTTGCTTATAACTGTCTGTAGTTCATTACATTTGTACAATTGTTTCCTTGCCTTAACCAGCTCACTTATTTTTATCTTGTTGAACCATATGTATTTTTATAAGCCATCCCAACATTTTTGGAGCAAATAAATCACTGTACTACTTGCTACTTCAGAGAATACTTACACATCTCATTTGATCCTGACAGAAGTCTCATGAAGAATCATCCCTGTGTGATAGATGAGCAGACACTGAGACTCACACAGGGAAACTGACTTGTCCACGGTCACTGAGAGTGACAGACGGACGGATGTATCGAACTTTCACTGGCTGCCTCTGTTAAGTGACCAGGATAGAACCTGTATATTCTAAGGTGTTTACAAATTTTCATTTAAATTAGCTATGGGAGCACCTGGCTGGCCCAGTCGGTAGAGCGTGAGTCTCTCGATCTCAGGGTTGTAAGTTCGAGCCCCACACCGAGTGCAGAGATTACTTAAAAGTAAAATCTTGAATAAAAAAATAAAATGGCTGTGTTTCAAAGAACAGAAGAAAATTCTATTAGAAAGTATTTTGAAATATTAACACTGATTTCTGTGAATCTGATGAATGCAAAGTGTGACTGTTCAGGACATGTCAACATATAAAAAGGATTGAAACAACTCTCTCTTCTTCTGGGAAAGGTTAAAATGTACTACATCAAACAAAACAAACAGTGCCTGGTGGTTTGGTCTTGGCAAAATATGAAAAATGCAAATTGATTAAACTTACTTTAATGGGTATTTACCTGCAATTTGTCTCAAATCCAGGTGTAATCTAGATTCATTATCTTGCCCCTTCTGTCTAGGAGCTGTGAGTGCTGAGCACGGGGCTGGCAGGCTGGGAGAAAGGAATTAGGAAGGGAAACTGTGGAGCCAGGAAATCCAATCCTGTGTGTCTCTAGGACCCATTTAGTTGCTGACTCAAGAAGGAACAACATACAGACAGTGTCTAAGCCCAGCAAAGAGACAGCGATGTAGGCAGAGAGGGCAGAATCTTAGAGTCTGGCTGGGTTTGGTACCCCCACGGAGCTGCAGAGCGAGGCTCTCCTGCTGCTGTCGCTTTATTCTGACCCAGGGCTTCCTAGGTCCTGAGGGGGCCTTTTGGCAGGAGCTCCCGTAATCTGCCGGAGTATTTTGGCAGCACTGCCGTTTCCCACCTTGCAGCACCGGAGAAGAGGGACCCATTAATCCAGTGGGATCACTGCAAATCGCCTAGGCCTTTGTGCGAATGTGGGAGCAATCACGTCTTTCTCAAACCCCTTTGGCTACACAGAAGGCACCATTTTAGACAAGGCATGAGTGGAAAAAAGAGGCAGCCGGCCAGATATGCACCTCCTGCATTAGCAGCAGTCTCTTCCTCCCGGAACCCAGGAAAAGAAGATCCAGTGAGAAAAATTGCCACGCAAGATGTAAGATATGTTTTGGGCCCTCGCCTTAGAACACCAGGTTTAAAATAAGGAAGAGGAAGACCTTGATTTGGTTTCCAAGGTTGAAAATGGTATTGTATTTTTTTTAATAGTCTGATTTTTATTTAAACCATTACTCAGTGAAACCTCAAGGTCCAAGAGTTTATATATGTCCCCACAGCCTTGTAGCTTTAGTCGAAAGGAGGTCACATGCTATGCAGGGTGTCTTCCAGCCTATTTTTTCACAAGACAGATCTGGGGTACAGCAGCATCTGAACATTTACGTGTCAAGTGTGTAAATGCTTTGGAAGCCTCAAAGGAAAAGTTCCTGACGCACCTGGCAAGCCTGGAACCTGATCTCTCCTTCCTCACTGCTCACACCGCCCTGACACGGCGCACAGGGGGAGGCTGAGAAAGGAAGAAAACAAAAACCCACTGCTTGAGAATTTAGAGTACAGAGTATGCACATTCAAGTAACGATCAACAGAGCTGGCACATAGTTCCAGGAGCCAACCTTGGGCTTTCTCAAAGGACCTAAGTATACAAACTGGCGTTTACCGCATAGCATTTGGTGAGAAGCATTTAACCATATCAACCCAAATTTTTGTGCTTAGAAGTTACTCAAGAATGATATTTGACTTTTCTTCAAACCCATTCAACCTGAAAGATTTCCAAGCATGTCACACATCACATTTAGCTACTTTTGCTGTGAAGGGCTTTCAGCCAACTGGCTCATGTTCATTGCCTAGAGAAGCAGAGGAAGAGAAATTTTTAGCAAATAGGTAAGCTCCTGAAATAAACTGTCATATGCTGGTTCCAAATAACTACACTAGTTTCCTCATTTAGATTATCAAAACAGTATGAACCTTCACCCGAATGCCTCTTGAAGATGTATCTGCTCCCCTGTTAAGCAAATCACCATTTCTACATGTCAGAATCGATTCATTATTTAACACCTAGCCCATCTCCATGAAGCGTTCTCCTCCCCTTCCCCCACCCGATCTCTGCTTTGTCTCTCCTTTCCTGCAGGCATCACTTGGAGGGCTCGCTCTGATGGTTAGCACCGTGCTTGTGTTACTCGTGCTCCTGGAATGAGAAGTAGTGGGGAAGGTGCTCTGTTCGCCTTGCTTTGAATAGGTTCTAAATATTTGCTGAGTCAAATTGATTTCCTAAATAGCCTAATCACCATCTGACATAATCTTTATGAAGTCCCAACCAAAAGTTACACACACACACATACACACACACACTTTTTTAATGGTGAATTTTCTTTAAGTTTCAGGTAATCTTCAGATCATGCATGTGTCCCAGTCATTAGCATTAACTACAGGATCTTAAAGAAACATTAAAGTTCAGACATATAATTAAATGTCTCTTTCCCTCCAGTTTCCTCACATGAACACAGAAAGTTAACACTGCAAAGACATTCATAACCTTAGACTTTATACTCATGCGTGTCTGTTAGATTCCTGAGCATTTCATGCTTTCATTTCTGCCTGAAATCCTTTGGAGGGGGGGTGGGGGAGACCAGGCTATGAAGAAATGAAAGAGTTGTTTAAAACAAGGAAATAAGTATGTCTTTATTTGAGCTTTTTAAAAATCATTCAAGAAATAGACATTTAGTTATTTAATATACGACAGATTGGGTGCTATGAATACAAATGAGTATTACTACGCAGATATTACTATATGGATATGACAGTGTTTTCTTGACCTTTCTGACATCTTTGCTGGTCATAGATCCATAATAGTGTCTTCCAGTCTAGGTATGTCTGCAGTAAAAACTAAGTACTTCAAACTGAAGGAAGAATATTGTCATAAATTTCTTTAATGTTTTAAAATATTTCGATCCTTTTCACACAGCTTGTGTTTACATGGCACTAAAGAAGCCTTTTATCAGGAAAGAAACTCTCCAGAACATATGCTGATGGATCACAGTATTTTGACCCCCCCCCAAAAAAAAGGTTTTGTCTTTCTCATCTTTCCCCCCCACCCATATTGTAGGGAGTTTTCCAAATGAAGGGTTTCAGGTAGGTTGTCTCCAGGTCAGTTCACTCTTGCAAGGTCTTGGCCAGTCATCAGTGGACACCCCCATCCTACCTCACCTACCTTTAGCCTCCACACCCACTCTGTGCCTCAACCAACAGACATGTTCCTTTGAGTTAGGGTTTTTGTGAAAACTGTACAGGCTGGGGGCACTGGTCATTAAAGGAATTTGATAGAGATCCTTTGGAAAACCAAAAAAGTTCTTTTGAAATATGAATATTTCTCCCCAGTTACAGGAACTGTTGTACAATTATGGTCAGTTTGTGCATCTGCTTGAATCAGCCTCTATCTGCAGAAAAACGGTTAAGACAGGGGAGATGTTCAGAGCCACCCTTTACTTTTAAAAAACATGACCAATGTCATGCATAGAAACAAACTTACCAAGACCTGAAACAGAGGTCGTAGCTGACTTATCTGAGGATATAAAAAATATTGATCCTTTGATTGGTACCTTTTTTTCATTATATCAACAGTTCCACAAAAATTGTAAGTTCCTAAAGAAAGTATTGCTTTGAAATAGAAGCATCAGGTCAACTTAAAAGACAAAGGGAAACAAACATTTGAGAAGCTACATTCAATTTAAAAATAGCATTTTGGAGCCCTGGCAAAAAAAAAGCAAAGCCAACAAACAACCCCGCCCTTACTACTACAGTGTTCTTTTCCAAGTACGCCTTTATTTGTGCTTTTACATGTTTTCATTTTGACCAAAATTAAGAGAAATTTTCATGTGTTTAGGTTTGGACTCTGGAAACGTTCCACTAAGATCCCTGGTCTGGTGTCTGTGATGGCTAGAATTTGTAAGACCTAGTAGGAAGAAGATGTGATTATATTGGGTCTCGGTCTGACTAACTGTTTTAGCAGGAATTTCATCTGCAAGACTAAATGCTGATCAACAGAGCATAATATTGTATTCTGAAGTGTGCTAGCTAAAGCAAAATTAATTTTTTTTCTCTTCTTTCTTTCCTCCCAAAATCTTCTGCCACAGCGACTGCATTTGCCTCCAGACTTGTCAGACACAGTGAGCCGCTCAAGCAAACAGGATCTGGCAGGATCCTCCAAGCTGCTGGGCCCAGGCTGTGGCATGATGGCCGGAGGCAAGCAACACCTGGACTTCTAGCGATCCCTCCTTCGTCGTCGCATGCAGAATTATAGGACACCCTAATTATGATTGCTAATAGCTTCTGTAAATATTTTTCTTAACGATTTGACCTTCCCATCCTTGAAAAACAGTTAGGATTGCAAAATGAGGCCACCACTCTTCATTTTCCTTACCCAAATTTTTATGCAGAAAGAGTACAGCAAAACTACTTTCATTTTAAAATTTTGTTTTATGCTATATTTAGAGAAAGCAAATAATTTTATTTTTAAATAAAATGTCAGAAACTCAAAATGCCTCACAGTGGTCATGAGTGTACGTGTGTTAAGGCACTTCATTCATGGTTCAGTGCATATTACAACACATAGTGTAAAAAAACAGCGTGAAATTCATAATTGTATATAAAAAACATTTTCTCTTGATTTCTGAAAAAGTCACTTGCCACCAAAAAAGTGCTAAGGCTTTTGTAAAATGAAAGACTCATTTGCTAATATGTGTGAAGACTATAATAAAATGAATTTGCATTTATGCATCCTGTTATTAAATTGATGAATACAAAATAATATTTTGGGATTAAGATTCCATTAAAGATCAGTAGTCTAACCATAGTAGTTAATAAATATAAAGAACCTGAGTGACAGAAAGCATAGAAAAAGAAGTTGATGGTCTTCTGTTTAGTAATCCTAAACAATCGAAGTCAGCACTATGAAATTACGTCAACAGACATAATTCAGGATTGAAATTCAAACTGACAGCTACATTAATGCTAGGGGAAAGCATGTATTGAAGCCTGGTGAGAGATTTTTGCAGAACACAGGTCTGAGACAAATCTAAAACTAACTCAGATTTCCATTGCACCAGGTAAGCCCTTTGTGAATTAGAGATGTTGGTTGTGTATGCACATTTATAACCATACAGACATGTGCTGGGGAGGTAGGTAGCACATCAAACCGGTTTTCATATAAAACACTAGGTTTTTGAATCATAGTTCCATATTCTCAAAGCTTTTGACAAATAGACAAAAAGTTAAGGTTAGAAAGTAAGTTGCATTTAAGTAAAGAACCTCAATTTTTAAAAAGCTGCTTAACGTCCATTAGGAGAAACTGAATTTCTAAAATGCATCTTCAGTGATGTTAGAATAAATTTTGAAGCAGTTATAACTAGCATTTTTAAGCAGTTTGCTTGTAATACACCACAAATTATACTTTATTTGTTCTTGACAACATTGTAGAAAACAAAGACTAGGTTTTTAAAACTGTCTAACCAATATGATGAATGTCAGTCACTTAAAAAAAAAAAACCCACTGTAGCATAAACACACACTGTATACAGGTTTTATTCAGAATTAGAATAATTGAATCAATGACAGTGATTTGCCAGGATGTCAAATCTCTCCATCATATCCTGTCACTACCAGTTTGTTTTTTGTGATCAAAATCAAAAAGACAACTATTTTGTCACCCGCTATTTTTTTAGTACTAAAAATCAGGTTTCTTCTATTTTTTTAGAATGTCTGGTTTATTTTTTTCACTTCTTTTAATTCAAAAGACACAAATTCTTCCCCATTTTCTTTTCAAAATAAAGTTTCAGAATTGATCTGTCAGTTAAAATTAAAGGGCTTTTATATTAAGCAAAGGTGCTTTTAAAATTTAAAGCAACTTCAAAAAATCAACTTAGTCCATAGATAATAAATAATGTGCAGATACTCCACAAAAGCTTTGCTATTCCTTTCAAAGCATTATGAACAATCTGAATAAATTCAAATGAATATTTTAGTTGGGTTATTATTTTAATAACTCTAACCTTTTTCTTACCATGTTGTGATTCATTTTATACAAACACACAACGGAACAATTATGTAGCATTTGAGTCTGAAAAGGAAATGTGAAGTCATCAGATATGTAAATTGTTCATCAAAAATACTTAACAGGTCATTGATTTACTACCCTGGCTACCATGTCTATAAAATTAACACCAAATTACTAGTTAATATATGCTTTGCAAATAGATAAATACTATAAAAATTGAATGTGCATATTTGAACCCTTATTTTAAATATAAAAGAAACTTCAAACTCAGTAAAAGTGCATGTTGAGCAATAATTGTAGCTGGGCTTTCCAAAACTCAGATCCAGGTGCTTTGTTGTTATTCCCCAGGCAGGCTTTGCAAAAAGAAGCTACAGAGGGATGTATATTTGTTTTCCTCTGATAAAAACCCGCTCTAAAAATGTGTTTTCCTTTCTTCTGGAAACATTACCAATTATCGGGACGCTAATAACTTACTACCCAAAAATAGTGGTCTTCAGTAATGCTACAGTAGGTATACAGACCATTTTTGATACATTATGAACTCCATTAACAGATTGTTTTTTCAGTCATCAACTTCTCTCAAAGATATATTCAAGTAACAGTACCAGACATAGTATTTGAAATGTCCTCATTTCTTTTGTTTCTAAAACTTCATAACCCTATCTAGTATTCATTTCTTACACTAGATTTGCCTTTTTTTAACATGAGGTAAATATTTTGAATACCGCACCCTGCTCTCAGGTGCTGAGGTTCTAAGACCTGAATTTCTTTCTAGTAGCCACCAGACAATTTCCACTTTTCTCTTCCTCCTCTTCCATTTATTTGTTGTCTCTACCTCGAGAATCTGCAAATACTAACATTAGACCAAAAAAACCAACAACAAAACAAAACAAAAAACAAAAACACTCTGCAGGCAATCAATTCCCTGTCTTTTAATTTTAAAGAATCAGACACACACACATACTCATACAAAAGGGAAGGCTATTCATTTCTTTAGAGCCCATTATGAATGTCATTTCTAAAACATCCTGTTAATGCTTCCCAAAAATAGTCACTGTCAACGCCATCAAACTTTAATACTAACCCTAAGTACTTTGAACTTTAAAAATGAGCAGTGAAATCATGTCAGGACCAGGCAAAAAAACAAAAACAAACCCCCCCCCCCAAAAAAAATGCTACCGATGAGGTTTTTTTCTTGAGAAACAGAAAAGGGAAGCATTTGTGTTTGGCCTTCACAAGCCAAACACTATAGAGAGAAGAAAAGCATTTTTTAAAATCTTGTTAAAATTAAAGCCCAGGGCAAAAAGAAATAAGGAGAAGAATATAGACACCATCCTAAGATGGCAAAAATTCACAAAACGAAGAGAAATCTTACTACTATGTAAGTGAATTTGAGGCAACCTTTTTCTTTTGGGGGGGGGGAGGGGAAGGTAGGCAGAAATGATTGTATGGGCCGCAGCAAGAAGCTGTTTACCAGGCAAGAGTTAGGAGGCCCAGCTTGGGAGGGTGCGGCGAATACTCCGGAAACTCACTCTAGCAAAAAGCAGGTTTTTTACTCAGAGTAATTTGGTTGTTATCTATTCAAACGCTCAGCTCTAATTTTGTTCACCGGGTCTCCTTAAGTCCCTCAAGTCTGGAGAAAAATCATAGCTGTGAGGACAACACAGATGGGTATTTTGGTCACCATCCTGGAAGATGGCATCCAAGCTTCCCCGCAGCGTTCTCACGGATAAATATATAAATATACCTATCAGTAAATAAATAAAAAATAAATTATTTCAACGACAACGAGTAAAAGGCCACCACCTCCAGGGCCCTGCTTCCGCACAGCGCCTGCCATGCAGGGCGCCTGCCATGCTGGTCCCCCGGGGAGCGCCTGGAGCTCCGTTAGGAAGGACAGTTCCTCTCCCTGGGGTGAGGGCAGAAGGCAAAGCAGCCGCTGTTCCCTGGCAGTCCTGACCCTCGGAGGACACGGGTACGTGCCCAAGCGCGCTTGCGCACAGAGACGCTCGGCTCCCACAGCACTCCACCCCCACCCCCACCCCCACCCCCATCCCCAGCTCCGGCACCCAGAGCTCAGCACCCAAGTCTGTGCTCTCTGCACCACTGAGCCCTGGGCCAGGCCTGGCTGCCTGACCCTGGCCCACATCTGAGCCAGTTGGAAAGTGTCCCTCCTCGCAGGGAAGAAGTGCGCCAGCCAGCAGCTGCAGCACACACCACGCAGCCCTCCCCTGGGAGTAGCGGCTGCACAAGGTCAGGAAGTAGAAGTGTGTGCACAGGCCAGTGCGACGACCGTGCGTCCGTGTGCATACTGCAGAAGTGTGCAAATGTGACTTGAACACCGCCGCTGAATCCACAGCCGCGCACATGTAGGCCTAAAAACTGCAATCAACCCAGGAAGGTGTCTCTAGACGTGCAGCAATTCTGGTGGAAGAAAATGATTAATACGCAGCATGCCACAGAGATGAAACAGTTATCTGTACCGGAGGAAGCCCTTCACCAGAAAAGAGTGGATGTTGAACAAGAAGGCTCTTTCTTAAAGCCTCCAATTAATTTCTATATTTCTGACCATTTGCCTTTGGGGATTCAAAACAAAACAAAACAAGAGAGCAGAGTACAATTCAGTGCAAGTGTGTCTTTGTCCCCAGAGCGTTCTGCCTGTGCAAGCATTTCATCTAGACAGCCAGAAACCCCAGCCTCTGACTGAACTTCGCAGAAGAAAACTTATCCGTATTGACTTATATGTTGCGCAGAGCAGACAGAAAGAAAAGTCTTGGACGGGCCTTTTTTCACCCAACAAAGGCTTATTTTTTTCCATCCTTTGCTGGGGCTCAAGCACTCCTGCCCTGCGTGCCGCCACTTTAAACATGATCAGATCTGTGCTTCATTGCAAATAACAACTGGCCGACAATAGGCCCGGCTTCATAGATTTGGGAATGTTTGGCTTAAGCTGCCAATGACTGAAGGCCTTTAGCTCCCATCGGCCAGTCACAGTCCGCTTTGTTGTTGTCTGTTGATGTGTCTGTGCTCATTATTCCTTGACATGCAACATCCCCCCTCCACCCTCCAACCATCCACAACCGCACAGAAAGCGAGATTCAAATGGGAACAGCTGTAGTGGTTCAATGGGAAATGATGCCTCTTGTGCAAAGGGGAGGGAGAGAGAAAAGGGAGAGGACCTATTTGAGAAAGGCGACAGCTTTCAGAGAGTCTTGTATAAGAAATCTACTTTTGAATATACTTCAGTTAAATCGCTGTTGAAATAGCCCGACAATGGAAATCTGCCCAGATTGAAAATGCCAGCCCTAATTCCAAAGACAATTCCTAGTTAATAGCTTGTTGAATTTTTAAATCATTTCTAGACTTTGAGTTTTTGAACTAAATGGCTAGCTGGGGAATGTGACCGTTTTATATATACGTTGTGGGTACAGATGGGCACAGATCTACACATAGCTTTAAGTGAAAATTTTTCCTAACATGTCTCGAATTAATGAAGTGATAAGAATTATTTCTTTACGAATTAGAGTATGTATGAAAGGAACCGTTGGTTTAGAATGATAATCTAACATGGAAACAAAATTTGTAACACCACACTATAAGGTTAAAAAGAAAATAGTATAATAAAGGAAATACAAAGGCTTTGGCATGGTTTTTACAATCAACAATGGTTAATTTTGATATGTAGTTGTGAACAACTTCAAAACACTTAAGTTTAAAACTCTTGCAAGCACTTTTAATTGATTAGGAATGAATTCTAGATGCACAAAATGATTGGACTGTGAACAGTAATACAACTATATCTAAGAACAATTAATTTTTGCTGGCCAAAAAAGAAACGTATGATTGCATGAAAATGTGTATAAAACATCTATAGAGTATTCTTGTCAAATATAAATGAAATTAACTTTATTATAGAAATCATTCTGAGGATTTCTAGGGAAGACAAATACTTACATTTTGACATAAAACAAATTGGATTTTATCGAAGACACACTCTACCTTTTAGCTATCAACTTTTTTCTTCCGTGAATTTATATCTTACCCTTTTTTGCACATAAACTTCATCTGTTAACAACCTTTGGAAAACCAACAGATATTCTTACATAAATCTAGTGCATGTTGTTCCAGGTTTAATTATATGCAAAGGAATGATACAAAGTTGGAACATCAGTCCATAAACTATGAACAGATGGGTAGAAGTATTTGATATAGCTTGATAAAACTCTTAAATTCGTGGCAAAGCTTGTTGATCATGGTTTCCTTTTTTTTTTTTAAACAACTTCATGACCAACACAGATCAAACATCCATCCAGTCTACGTTGTTCTTTTTTTCATAACATACAAATGCCCATTTACAAATAATACACCAAAATGAATAAAAGTTTGGATACCAAAATGAAGATTTGTTCCAACTGATATCGTGCCTTCTGTATACAAAGGTCCTTGTTTCAAGTCCATTCCCCAGTGGTACAATACAGGACACAATTGCAGAACTGAAGTGCTTCTAACAACCATTTTTCTTTCCTTCCTGAACGCCCAACTGTTGTGTCCACATAGTCACTGACTGAATTAACACAATATATCTTTTTTTTTTTTTTTTTTTTTTTTACTGTAATCTTGGCCAATACTGAGACATATCAGGTTCACTTCCAGGAACTTGAACTGGAACTGACACACCAGGGGAAATGAGTCCTAGAAGTGGATGAGAGAAATAGCCATGTAGAAATTCCCTTCGAGAGATAAGCATGGAGTATGAATTATTGGTTAAAAAAAAATCTCTAATGCTCTCTAACGTTCTAACTGTATTTAAAAAAAAAAATACACAAACAGAAGTAGCACCTTCAGAAACCAGATAACATGTTTCCACATATCTATTCAATCCCAAGTCCTCCCACACAAACGAGGAGGGGGGGGGAAAAAACAAAAAACCTCCATTTATTTGTTTGTATGTTTGGAACTGTACCAATATAACTATCTCTGGAAAGCCCATGTGGTACTTCTTCATTTGCAATGAAAGGCAGGGAAGAGCTGGGAAGGTGAGAAGTCTTGGGACAACACTCACCACGCTGCTCGCTCAATCGGGCCCTCACCACTGAGCTCTGGCTAATAACCTCTCTTCGGAGAACTTACATTCTCAGGCCTTGCCCTCATACACACCGTCTGTGACCAAATTCAGGAAAAACAACTTTGCTTTCTATCTACATGGGATCAGGTTACTAACTTACTTGACTGAATTTCCCCCATTGGATCAGTTTTCCCCAGAGAAAACTTGCGAGCAGCAAAGAGTTAAAACACACCATGACACGAGGCCAGGAGGTTCTGTGGAGGTTCACTTTGAGCGAAGGGAGATCACCTGGCAAAAGGAGCTGTGAAGGCCACCTCCGAGTAGCCTGCAGGGGGCGGCGGCTCACCTGTGGAAGTGGTGCCCGAGGTGCCCATCGGCTGACTGTTCATGTGTGTCTGCATATGTGGGGGGGTGTAGGTGTCATAACTCCGCCCGTTCACCGAAGGGCTGGTGGGCAGCATGCAGGAGTACGAGGAGGTCTGGCTGGGGACTGGGGGCTGAGAGGAGAAAGGCAAACCAGTGGTTATGGAGAAGCACATCCCACGGCCACATCCCCAGGCTCTCCCCTCCCCAGGAACTGTGCCAACAAGCTGGATCACTAAAGATGCCCTCGTGTAGACTACTGGAATTCCACAGGATAGCCTGGCAATCGGGCCTCCAACCAGTCCTTCCACTGACCACCGCTAGAGTAAATGTTGCCCCAAAGTACTGCTGTCTAGCTAGATGGTGGACGCTATCCATAAAATTAATAGGGTTTTCATCCATTTTCATCTTGGACCTCTTTTGTCATCTGCAGAGAAGCTATAGCATGAGGACCTCCATGAAAACACACCCCCTCTCCTGGAAATCCAATCTATTTGGATCTAGTGATGACCACATCCTGTATCTCAAGCATTGGGCAGAGGCCTGTGGGAGGAGTTCTCTAGAAAGTCTGCTCCAGAAACCCTGGGAGCCTTTCATGGTTGGACTCATGGGATTAAAGACTCTTTGAAGAGGCAGATCAGTAATGATCTCAGATTAAAATGGTCAAAAGTGTCAGTCAATACTAAGCACCATCCTGAGAATTAGCTGTGACTTCCTTATGGACCTAAAAACCTAGATGAGATTCTATCCATAAAATTGGGTTGCTCCCCTCTGAGAGTTTGGACTCAATTGAAAAAGTAAACCTTTCTCCTAAGTGAATAAGAAATACACAGAGCTGACACAAAATCCCTCATGAGCTCACGTGGAGCTATGCCAGGGCAGCAGGATTGGGATGAATTAATAGAAACATAACACCAAGAAGAAGGGAGATGATAGCACTACTCTGTTCTGCAAACTGCAGAAATGTTTAACATTTCAAGATTCACCCTCTCAGAAAGGGTGACCCAGTAGAGAGGGTTCAGTGGAAGACACCCACCTCTTGTAAGATGGTTGAAGATTATGGTCAATGAGATGAACTGATGGACAGACAGACCAAAACCCACTCCCCCCCACCCCCAGTTCCAAAATTCAAAGAGTAAATTTTCTCTGAACAATTGAACTATTAATAACTTTTTAGTTTTCATTATGCTTCATGAATGTATATTTGTTTTGTTTTATGGAAGTTGTGTAACTTTTTAAAGTTAGTGTTTGTAATACATTGACCCCACACCAGTCAGTAGTCGGAAACAACCTTCGTAGAACAGTAGCCCCCATGGAACTGCTTCTAAATGTTTTCTCATATACAAATTTTGTGATCTTGGCAGAAACCTGGATGTCGCTATAATTTACAAAACTAAACAAGACACTCAGCGGCCCTATGGAAGTCGGAGCATCAGGAACATCAGGTTCAAAGAGGCAAGCATGCCTTGAGGGCCCTGCCAGAATTTCAGCTTGCATTTTTTTCTAATTCCCAAAATCATTTCCTCTAGGCAACCTGACTTCTGGAAAATTCCAAAGCAGTTGTAGTAATACCAACCAATGGGCCGTTAATCCCTTAAGATACATTAATTGCACTATGGCTGCTAATATCCAGATGCAAAAAAATCAACATGTGAATAAATTCCTCCGAAGCTGCTTATGTAGCTGCTCCTGTTTTGGCCTGAAGACTTTGAAACATTTATTTTGTTATTATTTGGAGTTGAAATTCATCAAAAGACATTCAGGGCTGAGGGTTCCATCTGTGTAACCCCAGAACTGTTGCCAGCAGGGGCTCAGCCTGGCCAATCTCATACCACCCGGCATCTTCCAGGAGTCCTGGCAAAGTCACCACAGAAGGCCCACCAGAAGACCAATTTTTTTTTTTTTTTCCCATCAAGAATCCATCCAGGTCGAAAGTTGTAGTACACCCCACCTGCCCCATGTAACTTCCATCAGAAAGGGCTAATAGTCTAATAACTGCAGGAGGAGGACACCACAGACCGTCATAGTCTAAAGACAATCACCGCACCTGGTGATGTAGGAGCAGATAACCATTCAAAGCAGAACTGAGAGGAGAGGCAGGCTGGAACATAAGTGTATCCAGGCAGCCAGCGTGCCACAAACTCATGACGTAATTCATGGCCAAGAAGTGCTCAAGTTTTAGCAAATACCTCTATTCCATTTTTTATTGTAAGATACAGAAGAAAACTCACTGTTCTCTCAGTATATCCCACTATGCAAATATAAATCTTATTTCTGACCCTTTTTTCCTTCCTCACCGGTTCATCACATATTCTCTAAATAATACCCAAAATGGGTCCACGGGGTATGTCTTCATTAATATGAACACAGTAACATAAAACCCAAATGTAAGTATACTCTAAGCCCTTCTTATCTAATAACGTGCCAGAATTATTTCCACTTTCTGGTACCCGAAACATGCCCTATCCCCACCCAACATTATCAAGCTAACATCCTCTCAGAGCAAAAGGCAGATTAACTTGGTTTTCATGGTTTTTTCAGAGCAGCCATCCATCAATCCCTCAATCCAACAGAAAGACTGGATTGACTGTTTAAACTTGACTGGTAGGGTGCCTAGGTGGCTCAGTCATTAAGCGTCTGCCTTCGGCTCAGGTTATGATCCCAGGGTCCTAGGATCGAGCCCTGCATCGAGCCCTGCATCAGGCTCCCTGCACAGTGGGAAGCCTGCTTCTCCCTCTCCCACTCCCCCTGCTTGTGTTCCCTCTATCACTCTCTCTTTCTTTCTGTCAAATACATAAATAAAATCTTTAAAGAAAATAATATTATTGTTAAAAAAAAAAAAAAACCTTGACTAGTAAAGACAATCACCGCACCTGGGAAGGTTCCCAAGGGTGCACGTGTGGCCAGTGAGATTTGCAGGCCCTGACCCCCTCCTTACTTCTTCTCCCAGCACCCGGGACGCAGGCAGCCAACGGCCTCACTTACTTGCATAGGCAGGTTATTCGCCATGGTGAAGCTGGGCATAGGCGGCAGGGCGCTGTACGTGTTGGTGAGGGCGGTGTCTGTCCGGCCCAACATGGAGCCCGAGGTGAAGGAGGAAACTGCAGGAGGAGGACACCACAGACCGTCATGCTGAGAGGCAGGGCCAGGGCAAACAGGTGAAGTGCATTTATGACTGGTATGAATATTCAAATTACCAGGTGTGGTGGGTTGTGGGATCGGTTGGTAGACACTGGTGCTGAAGCTACTGCTGATGGGGATGTGACTCGGGGTGTTGCTGGCCTGTCTCCTCTGGTTCCTCAGTTTTTCTTCCCTTCTCCATTTGGCCCTCCGATTAGAAAACCATACCTGGAAATCAGATGGAACAGGTCAGGCCTGTGCCTACCCCAGCCCATCCTTCCCCCCTCTTGCCTCCACTGCTCCCCAGCCCCATGCCCCGTCCCCCAGGGGCAGCAAATCATTTAGCAGACTGAATCTTTCACAGTTTCTAGAAAGGAATGGCATTCCTTACAACGAAGCACCTTTGTGTCCAGAAAGGGCAAATGGGAGGCATCACAAAGCATGAAACCACACGGCCCTGGGTACCTGTATTCTTGCTTCAGGTAGATCGATTTTGGCTGCTAGTCTTTCTCGGGCAAACACATCCGGATAATGGGTTCTCTCAAACTCTGGAAGAGGAAGTTGAGTTTTCCACATTGTGCCAGAACTTCACAAACCAACCAAGTGTGTGTCAGCCAAGCTCAGGCTGGTTCCTACCTCCCCATTTCTGTCACCTCCAATCACTTCCCTTAAAAATGCCAGTACCATGGTTATGGACTGTACTTGGAAGAGCTATCCCACCGGATAAATTTTCTTTAAATTTAAGTTAAATTTTCTTCAGAATGACATTCATTCGAGTACCCTTCTGTGGCCTGACTTAGCCAAATCATCATTTTTTTCTTTATGAGAAGTCAGACTCTTGGTCTTTGAATTACTGGAACATGAAAAGAAGAGAGAAAACACACACACACACACACACACACACACACTGAAAAGATGCCCAGGGGAAAAAAAAAAAAAGAAAGAAAGAAAAAAGAAACCTTTTCAGTCCTCTATGCAAAGGGCCCCGGCTAAATTTAGCTCTTTGTCCTGAAGATGTGGCATTTAGTTTGATTTACTGCTTCTCTACTTTGAAAAACTCCATCACCTTTCTCCAGGGCCTCAATTTGCTCTTGGGTAAAGGATGTTCTATTTCTCTGCAGCTTCCGCTTCAGCTGAAGTCTCATCTGGGCCTCGTCTGAATCTTCTCCATTGGAACTGATGGAGTTGGTATTCTCTCCCCCTCCTTCCTGTTGCTGGCAGCCATCTGGAACAAAAAGAATAGGACAGTGAGAGAAATCTGAAATAACTTGGAGCCCGGGTGTAGCCATAAACTCCATGAGCAGTCCCTCCTGAGAGGCTCACCAAGACATTCCCTAGGTCACTTAAGTGACAGCCTTCTCCTAATAAAATACATCAGTGACATACATTACATTTCTTTCTCTCTCTCTTTTTAAAATCAAGTCTGTATCTTTTTATCTGTTTTTGTCAAGAAGACACTGTACAATATAGACACTGCAAAGTAGCATGTCTTTGAATAACAAAACAAGCGCTGAAGTTTCCAGTTAAAATGGTCCCTTATAACTAACCTTGAGTCCCAAATGCCTCTCTCAGTTCCCTTTCCCTACAGAATTTATTTACCTATAGCTCTGTTGGGAAAATAGAAGAGTGATGTTCAAGATTTCAGCTGATCTATAATCAGTAATTCCTATCTAATCAATTAGATGTTGATAGGTTTGTAGAAAATGCTATTAAGAAACCAAACCAAGCTTGTAATCTTTTAAAAAAAATATTTATCTAGTTTTTATTTGAATTCTGCACAGTCAATTTCATTTTAAAGGTTGTGAATTTAGAAATGCTCGCATTGTTCTGCAGTTTTATTCAACTATTGTATGAGTGCGCTTTGCCTTGACACCTATTACGAGCACAGCTGTAATTATATCATCACCAAGAACAGGCTATAATTGCTGAAAATGGAATTTTATATTTAGATAAAAGGACTGTCCATTCTTTGTAATGTGTTGCACCAGAGAAAAGTAAGATTTCTTTTAAATTTTTAACGTGTAATTTTAAAAAAGAAATAGTAGAGAGTTCACTAACTAGCTAAATACTTATGCTGCAGCTGAATCCTTGGCATATCATTTAAGTGGTACATTTTTAATTAGGGCATTTCCACCACTTTTAATGTAATTTCTATCATTAAACAGGGGAAAGTTTTATTGTTTTCCCTTGCTGCTTGGAGGGCAAGTTGTACACGGGCTAGCTGTCTCTTGCCTTGCCTCTTGCTCCTGAGGCCACGGCCTGTCTGAAGGGAGAACTCAGCCCTCACTGGGCCTCCAGGGCCACTGCAGACTGGGTCCCAGATCTTTGGTCCCGAGGCTCCCAAGGGATACCAACAGGGGCTGTGCCCCCCCATCCTAGAACGTTGGCAGGGGTTGCGGGGGGGGGGGGCACGCCTCTAGGGACGCCTTGGTGGGAATCGACTTGGCCAGGAATATCATTTATAACCAGGAGACAATAGGCAGTGCCTTCAAAGAGTTCAGGGAATTGTGACAGGATCTAGTGGGATCTTTTCAGGAACTTTGAAATGTTTTAAAACCCCAACTTTCTCCCCCATTTAAACAGGCGGATTCATCGACACTGGCCACCATATGGGCCCTTGGAGATCTATTGAGATGACCACCAACACTTGAATAGCAAGGGGCTGCTTTTCAGCGCCGCACAATGCCCCGCGAGTAAGGGAAACTATTAAACTCCTGGGGCAGGAGCGTTGGCAAACTTTCGTGGGCAGAATTTTGAGGCCACAATGAGCGCGGACAACAAAAGGATTCTCTTGAGGCGTGCAGCGGGCCACATTGTGTTACAAGAAGCCCAGTCAACAGACTTTTCAGTGAAGTGTGTTAACCCCTCTGCTCTGCTATCATTAATCACTGTCCGAAGAGCAGGCGCCTCAATGCTATTTAGGGCGCTTGGCTAGGGGGATGGAGGGTGGATGGGGGGCCAGAGCTGGGGGTGGGGGAGGCAAGAAAAGTGGATGGGGACCAGGCAGGCTTGTGTGGGAGGGGAGGATGGTGAAGGCAGGGAGGGTGGAGACCAGGTCTGGGGTGGAAGAGGGAAACAGGGAGGGAGGAGGGGGCCGAAGGTGTGGGCTGAGAGGAGGAGGAAGGGGGTGGAAAGAGATGGATAAAGAGAGAAGACTTCAAAGAGACAGAGACCAGAAAGGTATAAGGACAGAAAAAAGTGCTGAGGGGAAAAAGAGGCAAGAAGGTGTAAGGAGACAGGGAGAGAAAGGAGAAAAGGAGGACAAGGGGTAGACAATTACTAAATAGATCGGCTCTACTTGGGTCATCTTGCGCTACTTCAGAGAGCTGGGGGGTCAGGGAAGGCTACTTAGCGGAGGGAGATGCTGGACTCACATGTGTGGGCACAAGTGTCTGTACTAATTTACTGCCCCAAGTTTCCAGGTGAATTTCCAAAGTGAAAAGAAAGAAGAGACCCCACCCCCTCATTTTCAGATTCAGCGAATGGGGAAGACTTCAGAAATAGCCCTTTTTCGCCAGTTAACTAGAAACTAGGCCTGTGGATTATTCTTTTTGGAAAACACAAAATCTCCCACCATGCGACGTTTAGGGACTGGGGTGCTGAAGAGAACACAATCCTATCTTCCCGGGGTGGTCATTCGTGCCTGCCAGGTCACTCATGCCCACTCCAGCCCTTTTTCTTGGCATTTTTTATTTCACCAACTAAACAAAGCTGCCCAGGTTTCCCTCAGGAGACCCCTGCAGATAGCATTCTCTACTCTGGTTTGCTTCTCTGATATTTTCCTAATTTTAAAATTTTGAAGATTTGCATGCTCTCCTTTCCACCCCCACCCCCCAATCTCTCGCTGTCTCGCTGTCTCTCACACAGGAAGGCAGGCCTGGCTCTCATTTGAGAACGGACATTTAAGGGGTAGGGGAAGTCAATGGGAATAGAGAGCCCTGGGCGGGGGGGGGGGGGGGGGG